GGATAAGGGAAACAGACTCAGGCAAAACTATTCTTATAACAAGAAACTGCACTAGCATAGGATGCTAAGCTCATACTATCAGGCATAACCTAAACAGGCTATCCTACTGCTGTCTACTCAATTCTAGCATGCAATACTCATAAAGCTGTAACACATAAGCAGGCACATAAGGCATTCTCCTAGATCCTTAGCCCTATACTAGCATGCTGTTCTACTGAAACTGAAACTGAACAAATAACTTGTATGGGTAATTTGGGAGTACTTACTTGAGCTCGGCTGACCGCATGCACACACCTCTATCTTGTTAAAAACAATTCTTTCTTTCTAAGTGCTTTCAAAATTCTTTTTGTAAAACATTTTTATTTTACTAAAATCTTTTATTTCCCTTAGTTTGAGTTCAGATACACCCGGAAGTGTATCCGAATCCCTCAAACCAGGGCTCTGATACCAACTTGAAACGACCCAAAAACACGACCCAAAAATTTTCGTTTTTCAATATAATCAAAACCATAATATAAGTATCATAACATAAAACATACGCGATGTATCCCCAAAACATAATAAAATATTGTGCGGAAAACTGTATCATACAACATCAATCCAAAACATCAAAAGACATCCCCAGGATAAAAGCTATGCTGTGGTGTGTGCGATGCTGTCACCCCGAGCTCTTCCCTTTGCTTGCGGAAGTACCTGAAACCAAACTGAAACTGTAAGCACGAAGCTTAGTGAGCTCCCCCAAACTACCACATACCATACAATAACATATAAACACATATTGGGCCTTGCCCACTGCATCGGGCCGAAGCCCGGAAACTGCATCGGACCGAAGTCCGGAACTGACCGGGACCTTGTCCCCTGCATCGGACCGAAGTCCGGAACTAACTGCATCGGACCGAAGTCCGGAACTGACTGGCTGAACATGGCATAGCATAACACATCAACTAGCATAACACATATACGACATGCTACATCGGGCCGTGGCCTGGAACACATAATACTTAACGCATAGCACACAAATCCTGTTCGAGCCACGAAGGCATCGAACATACTAACTACTGCATCGGACCTAAATCCGGAAACTACTGCTAATTGAACGGGCCGGCATTGTGGCCTTAGACCCGTTCCTACTGGAAGGAAACTCACCTCGTAAGCTGGCTGCTGAGTGTGTGGCTCGGAAAGCTAACGGCGGCTGCTCCTGAATCTCCTCGGCTACAAGTCCATAAACACACTCAATCAAATACTAAACACTGCGCTTGGGGTAAAATGACTCTTTTACCCTCGGTCACAGTCAACTCTCTTTTGGGCTGACTCGCCGAGTTGGGCCACCCAACTCGCCGAGTCCTACTCTCACTTTTCACTCTTACTCACTGCTACTCGTCGAGTCTGGCATCGACTCGACGAGTACCCTCTTGATCCAAGAACTCAGACAATCTTCATCCGACTCGCCGAGTCGGATGAACAGACTCGACGAGTTGTTCTTGATCTTTAAGAAGATTGCCTTGGACTCGCCGAGTTGATGAACAACTCGCCGAGTCCCTCCATCACTGAGTTTACCCTCAACTCGCTGAGTCCACTCCCTAACTCACCTCGTCCACTCGACACTGATAAAACTGAAGAACTCGGGACTCGCGACCCAACTCGTCGAGTCGTTCTTCCGACTCGCCGAGTTGCCGCCATGCAACTGATTTTTACTCGATTTTGTTTGAATCCAATGCATACAATTGATAGATCTGAGTCCAATAAGCTGATTTACCACGTAAAGTTTCCAACTTTACGTGTACAACCTCATGAATAAGGGAAATAAGGCTAAAAGATGCACAAAATGGGTAGATCTATGGTTATCATGCAATATAACTCCAAAAAGACAGTAGATCTGGGCTCTACAACACCCCAACATTCAGATCCAAAGATATTTCGACTTAATAAGACGTTCATGCAAGTGTAAGGCTTGGAACAAGCATCAACTAGCTCTTAGGAGAGCTCTAATGGAAGTTTAAAGCATATAACAAGATGGAACTCCGAAAATACCTCAATTAACTCTGATTTGGCCTTGGATCTTTGCACTACAACACTTCTCCTTGCTTCTTCCTTCTTCTCCTTCTTCACACCTTCACAAAATGGCACCAAAACACATATAAGCTCTTCAAGGGAGGCTTAGGGTTCTAACACTGCGTTCTCAGGGTGAGGGAGGCGAGGATGGGGGCTATAAGGTGGTTTAAATAGTGGGCAACCCGGGGAATTTAGGGTTTCACCCAGACAGATGGACTCGCCGAGTCAGGGATATGGACTCGCCGAGTCCCCGGCTCACGTGTGCCCTCAGGCGCGACCCTACTCGGCGAGTCAGGCTAGAACTCGCCGAGTCCCCCTTGAAAAACTCACTATAATTACCAATAAATCAACATATCGGGAACGGGTCGTTACATAGATTCAAGATGCAAAATCGGAAATCAATTTCAAAACCAATCAACCAACTCAAGGTGCAAAATTAGAAAACAATTAACATTTTATTCCAGACGCAAAATCGATAAGTAAGACATGGAGGAATCAACTCAGCAAAGCTTAACATCCATTAAAATAGGCTGCTTCATCAATTAGGGTTTAAGAAAAAGGGGTTAACATCAATAAATTGATGAGATAATAAGAGGAATCAACTATTATTCGAATTACATCACTAGTCTATGAATTTTTTTTTTTTTGCATAAAATTGTAAAATTTACGTTACTGCTTACCTGGATTTGCAACTTCTTGTTAATTTCTTCAATTAGTTCTTCCTCAGCAACCCTAATGAAGATGGAAGTACTGGTGAAGGCTTTTAAACTCACACATGTCTCGCTTTTTTTCTTTTCCGATCATTATCCGAGTAGTTTGTGGATGTTTTTCTGAGTGATTTTGATCAGGTTATATCTTAAGGATTTTCGTAAAGAATTGTGAGAAGGTGGAGTGGATCGATACTCGATAGTACAAACTGGGGAAGGGGTTAACGAATTTAGGGAGGGAGAGTACACAAACTTGTTTGCCGGCGGATGTGGTTCTTTAGGGTTGTTCGACGATTTAGGTGTTGGTGAACGCAGACATCGACATACCTATTTTGAGGATAACATAGTGAACGATGCAGGGATTTAAATGATATTTAAGGGAAATTGACCCATTATTTTAGGAATTATAATTTTGGAATATAATTAATTGTATATACATAATGAATAAACTACCCTTTATTATTTAATTAATGATTTCTTTTTTCCTAAATTCCTATTGGTACAATAGTTGTTAAAAGCATTTGAACCTAACTCTCTCTCTCTCTCTCTCTCTATATATATATATATATATATATATATATATATATATATATATATATATATATCTTTACTATCCTATAAAAGAAATATCACTATTTCTAAAAATAGATTGAATATAATAATATTATTTTTTTAAGATGTTCAAATCATTAAGCTAATAATACAAGTAGTCATCAATAAAATAATATTAAATTTTAACCTATATTTTGAATCCTTATATTTCTCAACAAATTCTATCTCCTTCCCTGAATTTCGGCTAATTCAAAATTTGAAACCATCAGAAAATACATGTTGATTCAAATATCCCTCCTGCAGATGGCTCTTTCTTAACAGGTTTTTATTTTAATCCTTACTTGTAATTGATTTCATCATTTTTAACTTTTTGAATTTTTATCTTATAAATATATTGGGTGAAAGCTTTATTATATCAGGTTTGTTCCTAAAAAGGTTTCTATTATGTTTCTTTAATGTGTTGGCTTTGCAGGTTCAAAGAACTCAACCAAGAGGGCCAGTTAGAGCATTGTATTATCATTAGTTTGTATATTTTGGCATCTTAATTTTGCAATAAAGAACGGTTAAACAAAAGATTTGACATGATTGAGGTAGTTTATATATTTTTCATCTTGTTTAGTCTAAAAATGAAACCTTTTTCATTATTGGTCCTTATAATATCAAATTTTATCACATGGACTTCCTGATTACGGTGATTATTGTCCTTATTATAAGGTTCTATATAGATTTTGTTCAATATTTTAAGGTTTCGAGAACCTAAATCAATACGAATTCTTGAATTACATACCATCGTTGAAAATGTTTTAATTTGTGACCAAACTTGGTTTAAAATCACAATGAACAAGTTGACACCTGAGTATTTTGACATTCTCAAAGGCCTATTTATCGACTTTTGAATCACAACACCTGATATTCTAAAGGTTTATTTTTATAAACTATTATTTATATATTTTAGCATTTTACTTAGTAGGACATTAAATTAATAAAGGAATTAAGGAAAACGAAGAAAAAGAAAGGATGATAAACAGTACAAGTGGTTTGGGTATGTATAAATGGAATTAATAACCATTTAGGGGGTGTTTGGCAAAAAAAGCTTATTGCTTATTAGTTTATCAGCTTATAAGTTAATAAGTAAGTGTAGGGTAACTTATGAAAAAATGAGGTATTAGAGGTTCCCTACCAGAATAAGTTATTTTAATCTAAACATTTTTTTAACTTATAGTGATGTGGAATCTAATAAGTTGTTTTAAAAAAGCTTAGCCAAGCACCCCCTTAATATGGTATTGCAATACTCTTGAAAAATATATGTCATTTAATATTAATTTCTCGAAATGAACGTAAAATGGTTTAACTCTAAAGAGATCAAATTATTCGCCGCCCGCCGCTTTGCACGGGTAGACGACTAGTATATATATATATATATATATATATATATATATATATATATATATATATATATATATATATATATATATATATATATATATATATATATATATATATATATATATATCGGTTCTAGGGAGTGTTTTTGTGAAAAACCAATAAAGCCAAAGGTGTTTTTTGTAAACAAAATATAAAGTCAACCCCATGTATTCACGTTAACTTAATTATCTCCGGTCCATGTGCACACGGTGTAATTTCTGTACTCAACACCCCATCTGAAAACATTCTTTCTCCCGGCTTAAAATGAGTTTTCCCAATGAACGACCTCTTTCTGCACCATTGGGGGATCTTCGGAGCTTGAAACCTGACTTTCAGGATGAAGGTCAACAGTCGTTGGCCGGTGAAGATTCCGGCGGACTTCCACCTCCGACGGACTCTACTGGGTTTATTGGCAACTCCCAACAGCATTTCCCGGCAGCAGTAGGACCCCCAGAACAACCGCTTAGCCCACTTGATGTTGTGAATGGCCATGACAGTGATGATCGAACTAACAACCGATCATCTAATAATATATGGTACTTCGAAGATGAATTAGTAACTATATATTTGGTTTCTTAGAATTTCTACTGTTTCCAAAATAATGACATGAATTTCAACAGGAGCAAGACAGTGAAGCAATTGCATCTATCAGAGGCATTGATATTACTTGAAACCACAAGTATTTATGAAGCCCGCTGTCAAATGGCTGCTCAAAGAGCTGATGTTCTTATACTGACTAACTCAGATGCATTACTCATTGGGATATTGACAAACAAGGTTTGTCTTGAATTTATAATCACCCAAACATTTGCCAATTTACAGAAAGCTAGCTGATTACCTTTGGTGTTTAAAGGATATTGCCAAAAGAGTCAGTGCTTATGAGATTGATTTGGTGAACACACCTGTGTCAAAGGTAATGACAAAGAACCCAATTTTCATGTTGTCTGATACTCTTGTTGTGGAAGCAATGAAAAGCATTGTGCAAGGTTGGTAACAATATTTTTGAAAGAGTTTTATGTTTGATTGTTCATTTTTGTTGAACGTTTTAATCCTGTGAAGTAATTTACGCATATGCAGAACGATTTAGACAGTTACCTGTTATAGAGAATGGGAAGGTTATTGGTTTAGTTCACCTACTTTTATGTTTATTTGATGAAATGAAAAATACGGAATCTGAAGGTGAAAATTACGACAAGGTTGTGGAAGCTGCAGTGCATTCAGTCACTCATAGGTATAGCATTTACCATTTTTTTATTTTCAAACGAGACATCAAATTTTGAAAATAAAGTATCACACCTTAAAAAGTTATAAGGATGAGTAATATAGGATAAACTCAAGAAATTTGTAAATGAAAAACACATGCTACTTATTTTTATTTTTTATAATGGCTCATTTTTGCTATAAGATAATTTCTAAAAATTCTATTAACCGTGTTTCAAAATAATAAATTTCTCATGATGCCATGCATTTGAACAGGGGCTTAACCGTGAACCTTTTGCCTCGAGACTATAGCATCGTTCTACCTGAAACCAAAACTATATACGAAGCTTGCTGTGAGATGATTGCCAATTGTGTTGATGTTGTAGTAATCACTGGCCCAAATGAGTTATTCAGTGGTTTATTGACAACAAATGTTTGTCTTGAATCTCAAAATGAATTTTAAATCAAGCCGATGATTTATTGCTCTATCAGTTTCCCTAACCAGTGTTTTTCGTGTTTGAAGGATATTGTATCAAGAATCATTCCTTGTGGGTTCGATATTGTAAACACACCTGTGTCAAAGGTGATGAAAAAGAAGCCAATTTTCGTGTCCTATGATTTTCTTCCCAAGAAAATCCTGTCAAAGATTGTGCTAGGTTTGCTACTATCTCCATCTTCTTTCACTAGTTATGTATCAATACAGTATTTAGGAGATCAATATATTGTGGTTGTGGGCTCGAGTATTTTCCTATATAATTACCCCATTATTGTAGGAGTTGGCATTGTTGTTACCGTGTTCTACCTTCTAATCAAATGATTTAAATTAGAGAAATTAAATTTGTATATTTTTCATCATCTCAAACAGGTAGAAACAAAAATAGAAATAAATTGTAGGATGATATTTAATTTATCTTTAAATTATGTAGTGTAGTAATAGCATTGTATTTTCTGTTTGATGTTAAAGTTCCTTAGTTTACTATAGTTAATTAACTGTAGTTAGTCACTTACAAAGTTAGTTAAGTTAACTAAAGTTGTTATGTTGTTAGAGCATCCATAATGTATAATTCAATGAGAGAGTTGAATGAGGTGACATGCCTAATTGACATTCAATGAATTAAACTCTGTCATTGTGAGATGTCATTTTGACTTTCAATAGATATGAAGTTCAATGGTCATTCAACTCTTCAATGTGAAAAAGGTTTAACTATTAAATATATATATATTCAATTGAAATCTATTGAGTTTAGTGCATTATAGGAAAATTATTGTAAAGTTGTGTAGTAAGTAAAATGATGATGTGTCAATCCATTAAGCTCTTCTACGTTTAATGCATTTGGGATGCCCTTAGGTTGATGTTATTCTCTATAACATAGTTTAATCCATAAGCAATGTACATATATCTCTTTTTCCATCTCTTTTAAGAATAATGAAGTAAATTCTTCTCAATCATGTTTCTTCCTCTATTCATTTTACTCTGAGAATATGTAGGACAAGGGACACAATTGCTTGTTAGCGTGAGAAGTGAAGATGATGGTTTTATTTACCGGTCCTTGAGTTTACGGGGTGGTACTGTTCTCCCAACCATACAAACGATTGCTCCACCACGTCACCCTAAGGAATCAACTGAACCTCTTCTAGGTGTTAATAGCAAAGTGGACTGGGATGAAACTCATGGTCCTGGTCTTACACGTTATGTGCGCATGAGCAATTCACCATATCCACACAATCATTCTTCTGATAAATTAGTGGCCCCACCTCCACAACATACAGATGTACGTCCCTCGGAGCAATCAAGTGACCCACTTTCTGGTGTTAATAATAACGACGAGTGGGATGAGACTGATGCTCCTGGTTTTACACCTTTTGCGCATTCGAAAATATCTCCATATCCAAACAATTTAGTCGCCCCTCAACAACAACATACAGATTTAGGTTTCCCTGATGAATCAAGTAATCTACTTTTAGCTGTGAATGGCAAAAGTTATGATCTGACAAACAACAAATCACCCACTAATATTCAGTACGTTTAATGCTGAATTAGTCACTAGCTATTTGATTTTTTTTATCATTAGCAACAAAAGAATCCGTTACTTTCCTTTGGATGACAACAAATTTGCTGGAAATATAACGTAAAGCAAACATTTAGCGACTAAAATTAGATCTGACACTATATTTTTACAACTAAACCTCCAAATCTCAATTAATTATGTTTCTGATATGATAGGCTTTCAGTAGAAGAGAAGACAATGAACCAAATGGGTTTATCGGAGGTCTTGATAGTACCCCAGACGATAACTATTTATGAAGCCTGCTGTCAGATGGTTGCTCACAGAGCTGATGTTGTTGTAGTCACCGACTCAAATGAGTTACTCACTGGGATATTGACAAACAAGGTTTGTGTTGAATTTTAAACCGACTAAACATTTACCATCTTGAAGAAGGTTGATTAATTAACCTTTTGGTTGTTTGAAGGATATTGTAAAAAGAGTGATTTCTTGTAAGATGGATTCGGTGAACACACCTGTATCACAGGTGATGTCAAAGTACCCATCTTGTGTGATGTTTGATACTCTTTTTGTGGATGCTCTTAAAAAGTTGAAACATAAAAGTGTTACACAATTACCTGTTATTCAAAAGAATGGCAAGGTAATTGGTTTATTTTATGAAATGGAGGCGTCCGTAACTGCTAAATACGAGAAAGTTACAGGTTCGAGGAGGTATTTACTATTTACCCTTTTTATTTTTGTTTCAAACATACCATTACTCTTGCAAATAAATTATTGCACCTTATAAGAATGATCTATCTTAGATAAACACAACAAATGATCATTCTTTAAACAAAAGTTTATTTTACTTTTTCAAACGAATAATGTTGTATCTCTAGAGACGAGCACTCTTATAAACTTCCACATCCGAAACTCGATTAACTATGTTTTAAAAATAATGATGTTTTACCTATTGACATGCATCTAAACAGGGGTCTAAAAGTGAAGCAATTTCCTCTAGAGCATACCCTGATGGTACCTGAAACCACAACTATCTATGAAGTTTATTGTCGGATGGCTGCAGAAAAAGTTGAGGTTGTGGTACTCATCGACTCAAATGCAATATTGAAGGGTATATTAACAAAAAAGGTTTGTCCTGGATCTTCACATTATTTTATAATCAACCCAATAGTGATTATTCCATCAGTTTCACTAACTATCCTTTTCGTGTTTAAAGGATATAATAGCATTAGCTATTCCTAGTATGATTGATCTTGTGAACACATCTGTCTCGAAGCTGATGAAAAAGAACACAATGTTCGTGTCTAGTGATACTCTTCCTGTGAAAAGCATGCAAGAGATTATGCAAGGTATGTAAGTTTGAGAAAAAAAAAACTACTAATTTGTTGGTGTTTGTTGAACCTTCAAAACATGTGATTTAAATTAATTATGCATGCAGATGTATATTTAGATTTGCTTGTTATAGAGAATGGCGAGGATAAAAAGTTACTTTATATGCCTCTCAAAATTTCTATTGAATTTGATGATGATGAAGACGGCCTGTATGCTATTTCTGATAGTGAAGACGATGATATAAAAGCTCTTAACAAGTTCTAGACATAAACAATACTATTTTCTCATTGTTTAAATTTAGAGTTGTGAACTCTAACTTTGCTGAGTTTTAAAGTTGGGCTGTTTAAATTTTGTGTCAACAACTACCACTACAAAAAAAAAAATGCCAATTAGTGACCAATGCGACATAGACATTAACAATAGAAGGATTCGCTAACTGATTTAGTGACCATACATTTGTTTGTCATTTTTCATCACTATAGCTGATTTAGTGACCAAATATATAAGTTGTCACTAAATAGTGAACAGAATATATTGGTCACGGAACAGTGACAACTCATTTTGTCATTCAATGGTGTCACTAATAAGTGAAAGTTGTCACTATTTTTTCTAGTTAGTCATATATTTTAGTGACCGTAAAACGTCAAAGATTTTGGTAACATACTAATGGCTATAGTGACTAAAAAGTGGTCACTAAATAGTTATTGTTAAAGACTAAAAAAAGTATTCATTATTTAAGAAACCATAAGAAAAGGACAACATGCTTACAAATTGAGTTGATATACATATTTTCATAGCTTCATAGCTAATGATATAATGGGAGCAAATAGAAGTAGAATGTTATAAATAACATATCATCGAAAGTATGTTGCTGTTTCTTGCACATAGATATCGAATTTTTTCAAACCGGATATTTTAAAATTAAAAGACATTAAAACAAACATTTCCAAGTGTGTCTTCATGGCCATCGAATTATGGTGCTTTGAAGATCTTCAAGAACGGATGAACTCTTTTTTTTTTTATCTGTAAACACAAGGTAAAGATATGTGAATTAGTTGCTTGTGTTTCACATAACCATTGACTATTAATATCGAAATAAATTAATAAATTTAGGTCTTAATGGGGAATGACTCAATTCCCTCATTAAACCATGTTAAATATTTGTACAAAAGTCAAAAACAAAACCTTGATTCTTTCAAGTGCCCATTTATTTAAGTTGTCTTCACTTATCCCAACCTATAAAAGAATTTCTCATTAGAATAATGTATAGTAGCATTGAGAAAAAAACAATAGTTAAAAAATCCTGAAAAAGAAAGAGAGTAACCGACTTAGATACAACAATTCAACATAAAGTTGTAAAGTGACCGAATAGGTAACGATGTCCCACCTGGATAAACATTATATGCATAAAGTCTAGTTCTTTGTTGTACCAAATAAACTGTCTAAATGAGACAAATTGACCATTTTACCCTTATATTCAAAACAATAAATCTCGTAATATTCATCAACTTTAACCAAGCTTTTTTACAAAACTGATTATTATGTCGAGATTATGTAAACAAGGAACAACCATGTATATTTGTCCGGAATAAGTGCTTAACTCATTAAGTAGAAAAAAAAATAACACCTAACTTACCTATAGTAACAACATACTTACATTTCTTTACAACTAATAGAAATGTACTATACTTTTATCCATAATTACAATATATCTTTCTTTTTACCCATACTAACAATGTACTTACATTCTTTTTTTACCCATAATAGTAATGTACTTATATTTCTTTAAAATATGGCTATAGAAATGCACACTAGCTGCTATTATTTATACAAAAACATAATTACATCATGTTGTAAAAGTAGCATCTACATTGTGATTATGGTTAACAAAATAAAGTACATTACCTATGTTCTTTTTCTTACCATTATCAGGCATAATTAACAATCGAAAAAAAAATCGTCTAAATAAAAGGAAGTCAAGGATTACTCTATTCAGAATTCTTGGAAGCACAAATCGCCTGCACCCCATCCAATTTTAATGCTAGACGTTTTTTGGTAATTTCTAATTTACTGGAAAAAAAAGGAATGAGCAAGTAAGAACTTTATTATCAGCAGAAATAAAATACCGAATTAATAAATTTTCAAATTATTATCAAGGTTATAGTTTATGGTGATGAATTTATTTATACTCATTGTATTCATAATCATAATCTTCTTTAGCAATTATGAGGTCTTAATCATGAAAGCTACAGGTATGTATCTAATATTGAATATTCATGATCATAAGTTAATACAAACTTACAAACATACCAACATGATTCGATGAATCTACAATAATGGTATCATACTTTCCTTGTGGCGTGTTCTGAATAAACTCAATAGTTGTCCAAATTTTACAATATCAAATCTCAAAGTAAAAGATAAATAAGAAAATTAAGTAGAGTATGTACTGGGATTTGGAAATTACCATCAGCACCATGGAGATGAACATGAAATTCAGAAATCGTAATATATTGTTTTGAAAAAAATGTGACCTCATAGATAGGCTTGGAGCCTTGCTTTCTTCGGTACTAGGTTTGTAATATCCCAAAATTCATGGGCAAAAATTTCATTTTTAATATAACTAAAGCTCATTTTGTAACTTGGTTCACATATTGAAAAGCATTTCAAATAAAACATTTTTTAGAGTTCATTCCCAGAATCACATATTGCAGAAAAGATAGATGTATGCGATGCGATCGTCTAGAGATCCTTTATTGAAAACTGGAGGTACCTGAAACCAAAACAGAAAACCATAAGCACGAAGCTTAGTGAGTTCCCCAAAAGACTACATACCATACATTAACATATTGCCTAGCATACATTAACCGGATATTGACATACATAACCATGAGCCATACATATTATACATATATCATAATCAATAAAGGTGTTATATGCCAATACATAGTCTGGCCATTATGCTACAGGCCACCGCATGGTATTTATTGCCAAGCCGGGGGCCACCCCATGGGTCTTATAGACAAGTGCTAAGAGCCACCTCCTGGTCTTCCATGCAAGCATCAGAAACACAACTAGCATACATACTATTCTACTTAGCTAATTAGCATACAGTATAACAGGAGCCACTTCCTGTTCATTCATATATAATGCCTAAGGCTAACCCCAGGGTCTTCCAACCTTACATAAACCAAATGAGCCGACATTGGTGCTTTCGACCCATACAAAACAGTGAGGAAACTCACCTCAGTTGCTGAAACTGCCTGTAGGAAATCCTTAGCTGCTACCCTGACAACAACTCTAGCTATCAATACCAAAATATCACCCAATTAGCAATTGAGTCCCAAAGAATGATCCATCATCCATACATGGGGGTAAATTGACCATTTTACCCCTATCCCAAAAATATTCATAACTAAGTCCCAAGCCAAAAACCGACAAGGCCCAAAACTGTAAATCCATAAAAGCCCACTAATGGCTCACTAATCGCAATATTATCCAAATTTGGCCCAACTCCTCAAAAGGACCTTCCCTTTTAGTCCAACATATTCTTAGCCCAAAATATCTGATTTTCGATGGCCCACAAAGGCCCAAAGTAGTGAAGTCCAATGAATGGCCCAAACCGAGGCCCACTCATGCAAAATCCACTCTGATTAAGTACGTAGGGCGTACTCTGCTGTACGTAGCGCATATTAGGTTTGCGACCTATACGTTGCGCGTAGCATCTTGTACGCCCAACATACTCCTCTCTTAAGTCCTTTTTGCTATTAAGCACTTAATGCTTCAAGCCAAGGGACCAAATCATAGATCTCAACTCTACATAACGTCAAAACCCATAAAGTCACTGACTTGGTGACTTTGCATACCACACATTAGCCCAAAATCCAAAAATGGCATTCTACTTCCATGAAAGTGACCTTAACTCATGCATAAGCTCTTCAAGACCTTCAAGGTAGCAACGTTCTGCCTTAGGGACCCAATTACCACTAAAGGTGGCAACCCTAACCCTAGGAAACAGATTTGAACCATAAAGCTTCATCCTTGTGACCAAAAAGGTCCAAAAACCCAACACATGAGATCTACGGAAATAACCACCAAGTTTAAGACTTTATACCTCAAATGAGAGTCAAAAGCTGATGAGGTGATGGATCTAAAAGCCCTATATTCTTCAATGAATCTTCAAGAGTGAGCACCTTATCCAAAAACCCCAAAATACTCTTCTAATGGCCTTCTAAGCTCCAAGATCACTCGAGTATGGATTAGGTCTTCATAGTAGCTACTTTAGGGTGAAAGGGAGGCTGGTCCTTGAGGCATAATGTCCTTATATAATGCTAAACCTTAAAATCTAGGGTTTTGGTCTGAAGGGAGTACGCCCAACGTACCTCTTTGTACGTCCATCGTATTCACCAACCACCTGCGACCAAAAGACTTTATATGTTGGGTGTAACCCAGCTAAAGCTTGGTGTTCCCAGCCAGGAACGTGCATGTATCCTTTGCATGCATGGGACTGATCTGCCAAACATCTCCATTAGGGACTAATTCTGCCAAAACTTTCAAAGTGCCATAACTTCCTCATCTGACGTCCGTTTCCGACGAACCTTATATCTACAAAAAGGTAGCGAGCATCCCTATGCTCCTAATAACTAGCCCAAGCCTTAAACCTTTCCGGATTAAACCTAACATCCATAAAAAACCAATATATCCGTTTACAATCATACCCTTGGCTTCCGAAGACACACACGAATACCTGGATCACTAATTCCATGACTCCCACCTCCAAACTGGGGAAAATCCTTCTTTTCCCAAGGTCCTAAACCCTATGATAATGATAATTGGGTCGCAGCCCCAAGCAATGAAACACTTTCAAAACCGGGTGTTACAAGTCTCCTCCCACATAAATTAGATTTCATCCTTGAAATCGTTCCTTACTAACACCCCAATCAAAACCATAATCTGGAGATAACCAACCCTAAGCCTCTGAAAGAAACCACTTTTACCTCCCTAAACTAGAAATCCACATTGGTCTGACTTCCTGATAGACCACCCACGTTAGGCTTTACCACGCTTAGTCCTCCTCGAATGACCAAACAAACGCATACTTCCAATCTTGACTATCTCGATGCTACCATCAGAAACAAGATCACTGACCATAACGACTGTGGAACAGTTAAACTTGACAGAAGGCTCAGATAATCCTTCGAGTAGGAGATTCATCCTTAAAACGGTTAGACTCAGTCGAGAGATGCGCAACATGGTCAAATCAA